GCAGTTTTTAAAAAAGGGTTATATGAAATAAGAATGACAAGATGTTGATAAGGTTGATAAATTATATTTTTGACTTTTGTGTATGTTTGCATATTTCAGAATTAAAACCTAAAAATAAAGTCAATGTGAAAAACATTGGGAAGAAATATTCATCACTATCTGAGGTTGAGTTTCCTGGGAAATTAGCCCTGAGGAGGAGAGTCACATGAGAGAGAAGGTGGGGAAGGGTTTTCTAAAGATGGCAACTGACAAGAGATTAGAGAAGTAGAATCAGGCAGCAGAGGCTGAACTGTTATGTAGCTACAACAAAGACATTAGTTGCTCCCAAGGGGAAGTGTAGAGCCAGGATGGCCACTCAGGTCCCCTGATGTCAGGGGACCAGGTCCTCACATGCCTTGCCCTGACGCCTGCTCACATGTACTTGTTGACCAGTCACTAAATTATAAACTATCCCTAGAGAGTGGGCATGGCCTAGGACAGGGCAAATTCAGATGAGGACAGTGCCAGAGAGGGGCCCGAGTAGCCAAGATTCTGGGCTATCAGCAGTTGGGGTAATGAAAATGTCAATCCTCACAGGGCAATCTGAGCAGTAGACCATGGCATCCACCATTTCTTCATCCATAAACATTTACAGCAGTGACGTTTCACATCCTTGAACATGTACCGCAATGACACTCTCTTATAATAGCCAACAAAACAACACACCCAGGACTGGCATCTATCCGATCATGTAGATGATTGTGTGTTGTTTTGTTGGCTATTATAAGAGTGGAGTATTTGCATACAGAGGGCATGTGTTGACAAGAAATAAATGTATTGCTTTAAATTCATCTTGCAAATGGTTTTCATTGAAATAGCAGGAAACTAATGTCCTTTTAAAACTTTATTAAAATCATCTGGATATACTCAACCTAATAAAAGCACAGTACATGGCTGCTGGACTTCCTGTAGCTTTAGATATGGAGCAAAAAGAGGTTTAAGTGGTATCATACATTTGACATTATGTAAAAAGATATGTTATTGGCCTAAGAAAATATGTACTTTATGAAACACATACACAAAT